ATTGTTGTAATTTAACCAGGAAATATTATTTCTTTAAAAAATTTTGTTAATTTAAAAAATAGAATAAATAACCTTATTCGTTCTTGTAATGTTAATTTAGACAAGTAATCGTCAAATTCATCAGTCACTGAATTATTTAATAATGTTAAGAGAACAAGAATACAATCAAATAACCTAGAAATAGAAAAATATTTTTTCTTATTAAAAAAATTTTTTTTTAATTTTAAATTAAATTTTACTAAAAACAATTATTAATTTAATAAATAAAAAAATAATATTTATTAAAGCATACAATTCACTGTCTGATTGTTCAACAGCACTGTCTGTATAGTCATACAAAAATTTTTTCAAATATTCAACCTCTTGTACTTGAAATAGTGAATCACCTGATAAAAGCTTCTTTAACTGTTGTTTCTCTCGGTTATATAAATCTTCGTTGGAATTGCTAAAAAATTAAAATTTTTACAATTGTGAAATTAAAAAATTAAAAAAAAACTTTGAAATTGTAGAAATACAATTTTCCAAATTAACAACATGTCCAATCCAATTATGCTTCTTAAAAATATTTAAAGCTTCAGACAATTCGTCAATTACATAAATTCTAAATTTTTCCGAATCTGTATTTGAATTACAGAAAAAATCGTTCAAAACTCGAAAAGATTCAGGAATGAAAATATTATTAGTGTCATCTTCTGCTGAGGAAGGTAATGAAGTTTGTTGTAACCATCGCCTAACAAGTGTAACCTCTTGACTTTTTTTAGTATTTGTAAGTAGCAAGTACAGATTGTAAAGCTAAAAAGGAATAAAAATAAACTTGTTTAACAATTTGTAAAAGAATAAAATTACTGATAAAAATACAATAGAACTCGTAACCTTACTCTTCAAACTTTTTTTGCAATTAGAAACTTTCACAAATTGTAAACATATTAAATTTGATATAAATCAACCTATTACAAATTGTAAACATAAACATATTTACAAATTACAAAAATACAAACTTTTTTTACAAATTGTAAACACGTTTTTACAATAATACAACTTTTTACAAATTGTAAAAATAAAACTTTATATTATTACAAATTGTAAAAAGTTTTTTTACAATTTGTAAAAAATAAATAAACTTGTTTTACAATTTGTAAAATAAAAATAACATCTTCTTACAAAAAAAAACAACTTTTTACGAATTGTAAACACGTTTTTACAATAATACAACTTTTTACAAATTGTAAAAATAAAACTTTATATTATTACAAATTGTAAAAAGTTTTTTTTACAATTTGTAAAAAATAAATAAACTTGTTTTACAATTTGTAAAATAAAAATAACATCTTCTTACAAAAAAAACAACTTTTTACAAATTGTAAAAATAAAACTTTATATATTTACAATTTGTAAAACTAATTTTAATGAAATATAAACATACCGCTTCAAATTTCTTATGCAAAAGAAAAGCAGCATGAGAAGCACTAGCAGATTCCATCACTACCAATTCATCATAAACAGAATTTTTATTTTCCAATTCATAATCAACCGAAGAAAAAAGTAAATATTCAACAAATTTAATAATTTCTTCTTGCCAAAAAATAAAAATTAAATTTAAATGGAAAGAATTAAAATTTGTTGAAAGAATGTGTAAATCTTCTTCTAAACGTTGGAATGTTTCTCTTGAATAATTTAAAACTGTTGAAATACAATCGTGTCGAAGTTGTAAAGTATTTAGTTGAGAAGTTGTAGTTGTAGAGGAGGGTTGTGAAAGGGATTGGAGAGAAGAGGAGGAAATTACTGAAGAATCTGTTGTTGTTATTGTATTATTTGAAGTTGTTGATTGTACTTCTGATAGTCCTTTAACTGCTAAAACTTGATTTGTTTGTATATTTTGATTTTCTTGTGAATGTTGTTGAGTTGAGGAGGGTGTATTTGCTAAGTTTAATCTAGAAAAAAAGTTTATTTTAAATTAATTCTGATTTGTAAAACAAGTTAATTCAAGTTTACAATTAGAATTTAAATCAGAAATCAAGTTTATTTAATTTTACAATTTGTAAACTTAAATTTAATAATTCTGATATTTATTCAAGTTTATTTATTAATTCAAGTTTATTTAATTCTGATTAAATAAACTTGTTTATAATTGTAATTTTGATTTGTAAAACATGTTAATTCAAGTTTACAATCAGAATACAAAACAGAAAACAAGTTTATTTTAATTTACAATTTGTAAACTTAAATTTAATAATTCTGATATCAATACAAGTTTATTTAATAAATAATTCAAGTCTGTAAAAATAAATAAACTTAATTACAATTGTAATTCTGATATTACTTAATTCAAGTTTATTTAATTCTGGTTAAATAAACTTGTGTATTCTGATTTGTAAAAAATAAAATTCAAGTTGACAATCAAAACTTAAACCAGAAAGTTTCTGATTTACAAACTTAATATAAATCTATTTAATTCTGATTAAATAAACTTATTTACAACTGCAATTCTGACTTGTAAAAAATACCTACTTTAAAAATTCTGATATTATTTAATCAAGTTTATTTATTTAATAAATAATCCAACAAATTTATTTAAATAAATAAACTTTTTTATGATTGTAATTCTGATTTGTAATTTTTAATTTAACAACTCAAAGTTTAAATAATTTTTAAATACCTATGGCTGAGTAGACTTGCAGAAAGCAAAATTTGATGTGAAAGCAAATATGCGTGTATTCGAACTAATTGCCAATCATCATTAGAAGAGGTATAAAGTTGTTGATTTAAAAGAATACAGCATTTATCTAGAGGAAGAGGGCGTAATTGTTTTAACCAATTTATCGAATTTAATGCTGAATCTTTTTTTAAAAATATTAAAAAAATATTCTTTTTAGAAATTAATTTAATTTTAAACCATTTTTCTGAGCCAAAGCACGAATTGAATCAGCAAAAAAGCTAGTTAATGAATCCAACTCTACCAAAGCTTGTTCAAAAAGTCCTAAACTCCAATAAAAAAGACACAATCTAAACTAAATAAAAAAAATTTGATTTAGTTTTAAATTTGAAAGTAAAAATTTTTTGAAAGCGTTATGGGAGGGAATATACAAAATAAATCCAAAATGGACACAAAAAATTAGAAAAAATTTAGAAAAAAATTTAAATTGAAAAACATTCTTTTTCCTTATATCCTACATAACCTAACTTATTTTTAAAATTCAAAATAAAAATTTATAAATTAAAAAAAAATCAAAACCTGTTCATTAATAAAATTTGATAAAACAAAATTATCTTCATTTACAATTTCTTTCAATTTTCTAAATTTATTAATTAAATTATTAGAATAATTGTCGAAAGAAGAATATAAATTGTTTTGAAGTAAAGAAGTTAAAGTTGATTTTGATTTTTCTGAAGAAAATTCGTTTGATTCGAAAATTCTGAAATTTGAAGTTTTTTGGCTAAAATGAATGTAAGGAAGTCAAAATTTTAGCCAAAAAAGTTTCACAGGAAGGGAATCATTTTTGAAAATGTCGATGAGACCTTCGACGCCAAAAAAAATTAATTTTTTGCATTTCCCTATTTTGAGGCAGGGAGGAGTAGTAGAGAATCCACCCTAACTGGCTACGTGCCCAAAAGAGGTATTTATAAAATTCTGGTTTGTAAAATATAAATTTACAAAGTATTTTTTCCCAATTAGTTTTAAGTTTATTTAAAAATTCTGATAGCCAATTAAATAAATTAGAAATACCCACCTATTCTGAAACTTTGCAAAATCATTCTTCAATTTGTCATTTATTTGACTTCTATTCTTTTTATCTTTTACCCTGGAAGAATCAAAAATAATTAGCCAAGATTGACAATTAGCTTCTGTTAAATCTGAAAACCATTCAGAAATTTCAGGGCGGACAGAAATTCGGTATTCCTCAAAATTCTAAGAATACCGAAATGGTAATTCCAAGGCTGGTCCCCCCCTTTTTTTCTGTTCGCCTGACCATTTTGGTCTTTTTTGCATGACATATTATTTACAATATATCATTCGAAAGAGCTGTTTGAGCTGAGTAGAATGATACCATAATCGGTTCGATTTAGAGATTCTGAGCAGAATTATGAAGCTAAATCCTCGATGGGCATGCTTTTTGTGATGTTGAAAGGGATTAAAACAAATGCTCATAACTATGTTTATTTAAGTCAGATTTCGATGAATTTAGTACCGTTCGACTCAGCTTGAAGAGCTCTTTCGAACGATATATAATTCGCCATAAAAAGTTTAAAAAATCGAAAAAAATAGAAATGAAAAAAAAGGGGGGGGGGGACCAGCCTTGGAATTACCGAAGAAATTTTTAAAAAATTGAAAATAAAATTTTTAAAAAACCTTCGGAAAAATAAAATAAAAATGTAAAAAAGCAAATGTTGACGGCATATTATCATTAAAATTTCCATTCTTTATTATAGAACAGTCTGCGTCAAACGCCACAAAGGAAGGTTGAAAACGAAGATTTAATGGGAAATTTGTTGTGTGGGAGTCTCTGTGATTTTCTTAAAGTAGAAAAACAAATAATTTAAAAAACCTTTTCCATTGCAGCACTCCATTTCCAATCGAATCCAAAATTATTTTTTGATTTTTATTAAAACATTCCTCGTTGCCATGCCCTAAAAATAAGAGTTTTTAGACTAAAATTTAAATTAAAAATAAAAATATACATGAAATTCTTATCGGATCCTTTTTGTTTGCTTTAAAAACAGTAAATTCTTGAGTCATTTAACTTGTTTTAGTTCCCCTAAAACAAAAAAAATTAACTAAAAAATAAGAAAAAATAAGAGTAAAAACCATACGTCCAACTGTAAATTTTTTCACTTATCGGCATTTTGTCGATTTTCTACTTGCTGACATTTTGTAAAATTTACTTATTTGTGTTTCAAAATTTTCTCTAAATCTTTAACTAAACACTATTTTTCTTTAATTAATTTCTATGGTGTGGCAAACGAAATAATTTCTTTCCTATGTGGCAAATTGAATTTTGATATTTTGTAATTTCTCTTCGACTTTCTTTTATTTCGTTAAATCATTTTGGTGTCTTGGTATCGTTCTTGGCTTTAATTTTTATTCATCAAGGTTCGAGCCCCTTTCGGTATTATTATTTTTATTCTTAACTTTTTCGTCTCTTTTTACATTTTCTACTTGTTTGTATGTTTAAATTTAATTTTTATTTTAACTTTTATAGATGCTAGACTTCTGAAAAAGATTTTTTTGTATCAACACAATGGAAAGTCAAGAAAATGAAAATTCTAAAAGGCGTATATCAAAGCCTAGAGTTCAATATTCACCAGTTACTGAAGCAAAGCGAAGTTATACAAAGAAAACAAAGTTTCCTTTTAATTTTTTTAAAAACTTTTTATATTTTTAAGGCAAAAATTTAGCGTAAAACGTTTAAATAGTTTGTTTAATGATTCTTCTTCAACCTATTCAACGAGAGAAAGTTCGGTAGATGAATTTTTTGGTTATGATGTTTTGTCTCAATTTGACTTGAGTAATCAACTTGTATCGATGAAACAAATAGATTTTGTTTTGCCTCCATATCCAGACTTGAGGGATGCTCAAGAATTAAATTTGGGGGTTGCTGAACATATTGAAAATTTTTTGGATGAACAAGAAGAGATTAAATTGTTGGAATCAAATTTGTTTGAAAATGATCATGTGGTTGAGCAAATGGAAATTACGCAAGCGGAAGCTGTTGAACATATGGAAATTGAAGGTATTTTGTTTGTTAAAGTTTATTTTCCTTCTATTGCTTTCTCCATTCCATCTGGACGTCTTTTGATTGAATTTTCCGGGACAGTTTTACACAATCTCGTTACTCTATTTACGGTTATCCATTCTAAATTAAAAGGTAATACCGAAGCATACAGACCCCATTTTTTCCTCCCCAATTTTCCCCTTTATTTTTACAAAATGGTCAGGCTTTTTCCTTTCTTCCATCCAATTTGCCTTCCTAATTTTTGCCTACAATCAAACAAAAAGGATTATTTAATTTTATACAAGGGCAAGTACATGCAAAAAACAAGTAAGAGTAGGAAGAAAGGAAAAAGCCTGACCATTTTAAAAAAATATAATTGGGGAGGAAATGCTTCAGTATTACCAATTAAAATTTGTTTTGTAAGATCTTATTTTAGAAAACATTAAAAATTAAAAAAGACCTTGATTGACCATTGAAATTGATTTTAACTTCTGAATTTGGTCAGAGTCTTGGTTTTAATATAAGAAAAAACTAAAAAATCTCTATTAAAAATGTCGTAATAATAAGCTGAACTCCTTAAGAATTTACTTATTTTATTTCAGAACCCTCCACTTCTGTCTTACAATTACAGCATCAAGAACCTCCTGCAGAAGAATCAGCATCCTCTTCACAACAACCATACATCGAACCAACAAATTCTACTTCTTTTCCAGTCGAATCTGTTGGTCAAATTTCCCCCTCAAAACTAGAACGTCCTCCTTATCATTCAAAATTGAAATTAAAAATAAAATTGCCTAGAAAGCCAAATACAGGTTTTTTTTATAAGTTTTAAATTTAAATTAATTTTTCTTTTTAAAATTTAGTCCAAACAGCAATTGATAAAAGGACTAGAAGACCAACCAAATTTTCCGAAGATTTTGTTTTTACTCCATTAGTAATGCAACGGAAAAGCAACGATGCACTAAAAATAAAACAGAAGGCTATAATTAAACAACAAGAATCAAAAGCAGAAAGAAAACGTTTGTAAATTTATTTTTTTTTAATATTTTTTCACAAATATTTTAAATTAATATTTGAAAAAATTGAAGGGATCATTAAATTTTGAATGTCGGATTGCGTGGACTATCTTGAAATAATTTTCGCGGGGGCAGACTAAAAATTTCCAATTTTGCTACTTCTACTCCCAATAGATTTTTTGTTTCCCCATTTCATTTGAGAGGGTGTAGATTCATTTGCCATTTAAATACACTCATTCTAGTCTGGCATTGTATTAATCATTTTTTCCTATTCCGTGTTATTTTTAGTTTTTTTGTTTGTAAAATTACTCGGATATGATAATCTTTCACTTTATTAAATTTTTAAAAACTTTACATTTAAATGGTGATAAAACCATTTAAATGTAAATAAAACCATTAAATATAATTTTTTTGTAAATTTGCAGTTAAACGAAAGGAACGTCAAAAAGCAATCTCCTCATTTGTCCCTTCAATACCGCCTACTATACCAGAAGAAAATCAAAGTTCTCAAGTAAAACCAGAACCTCAGCCTGAGCCGCTACCTGTTGAGAGAGAACGTTTGGAATTTTTTTAATCTTAATTTAAAAATCCTTAAAAATCCAATTTTTTAGGCTCTCTAAAAATTCCTAGAGTTTCTTACGTTCAAAAAGAATTTTTTGCAATGATGGCGGACAGAAAACGATTAAATCCTTTCTCAATTGGAATAAAAAAATCGGAGCAATATATTTCCGATTATTTTTATAGAGAAATGTTTATTAGGTTTTTTAAATTTTTTTTTCGAATTTTTAAGAAAAAAATTAATTTTTAAGCGATTCTGAAACTGAAAAAGATAAAAATAAAATGGACGGAAATTTGGATGAAGAAATAATTGATTGTGTTGGTGGAGGGGTTGATTTAAATGAATATACAAATGATGAAGTGATTAAAATTAATCCTGCTGACGAATTTGCAGAAGCTGTGTGTTCGGTTATGAAAAATGCGTCTTACTCGTTTGAGGAAGGAGATGAAGATTTTTTGAAAATTGCTAATGAAAGGTTTCGATTTTTTTAATTTTAGAAGGGTCTTTTTTTAATTTTAGAAGGGTCTTTTTTATGGAAAGGTTCTTGAAATTAGTTACATTCCCCTTGTTTATTGCTCCGAAATTTTTGAATAAAAACGCTCCAGACTCTAGCGTCGAACTTTGAACGGCTATAACTTGTCCCAAAGTAATTTTGCAAGAAAACCCGCATCACTTCATAATAGGAACTCGTTGGTGCTCTATCGAGCTTATAAGAGGATGGCTTATTGTAGATTAAGAAAACTGGTGCTGTCACTTGAAAAATTAATTTTCAAATCCTGGTTGAATTCTTTAAGCCAAAGATTCTCTTAAATTTATAATTTTTACGTTTATATTTCTTTAGAATTTATAATTTTTAGAATGTATTTATTGGAAGAAGGCACTAAAGTAGTCTTAAATATACTTTTAAAATATATTATTGAACAAAGACATGTTGATGCTTTTGTGTTGGGACTAGCTGGAGGTGCTTCAATATTTCATTCATTAACTATGAAAAATGCTAATCGTCTTAGAGAATCACTTAAACTTTATAGCAAGGTTTGAGAAAATAAATTTTTTGAACCGAGGACCGAACAGAAGAATTGGGGTAATATTCTCCCATTAACAATTCGAACTTCAATCAGAGTCTAAAATTTAAAATTAATTTTTAGCCCTATTTAACTTGTTTTTAGGGTATTCCCTAGCTAATGCTTTTTTCTTAACTTTTTTGCAATTTTTGTCCCCTATACTTTTTGTTAAAGTATGTTAAACTAAAATTATGATATAGTTAATTGTTAGTTAATTGCCTTGTTTCATATCTTTCGATCCTTAACGGTTATGATTTTTTACAAAAATTTTTTGAAAAGAAAAAAATCCCCGAATTTTCTCAAAATTTTTCAACTAAAATGTTTCTTTTTAAAGTCAAGTCAACAAGCAATCATTACTGCTCATAATTGGCTTTTGAAGAATTTACCAGTATATTTTATTGCTTCCTATTTAAATTTACTTCGATTTCTTAAAGCAGCGGTATTTTTTAAAATTAAAAAAAAAAATTTTTTTTAATTTTTAAGGGAAGTAATTTAAGTGATCATATTGTTCGATTTAGCGATGAAAATTGTATGCTAATTGCAAATAATTATATAAAAGATTTTATTGCACAAAAAATTTATGAACCTCCAATGCATCCAAATTTTAAACCTTTGGAGGTTTTTTTTTTGAAATTTTTTTTTAATTTTTAATATTTTTTTAAATTAGTATGGCCCAATAAATAATGTTAGTCTTATTCTTGTTTATCCTCAAATTACTGTGAAGACGTCTAAACATTTTATTAGAGCACATGAAATTTTGTTTAGGTAAATTTTAATATTTTTTTGTGAAAATTTTGGAGTTTTTTAATTTACTTTCTCGGATTAACCTTCACGTCCAAAATTCTGAAAACGGTTTGAAAGTTGATATATTTAGTTTTTATTGAATACGGGTGTATTTTTGAGAATATTTCTCAATGTTATTAGACCCTCATTTTATGACAAGAAATCTTGTTACTTTGTCCAGTATAAAAAATTTACTGTTGCCTGCCTTTATATTTTAATCAAATAATCGCCGTTAAAATTGTAACACTAGGGATAGGCCGGATTGAGAAAAAATGTCGAAAGGTCTTCTTTTCTAAGGGTTCAAATAAGGGTCATTGAAAAGTTTTCAGGTCAGGCTTTGGGTAAAAAAGTTCATGTTTATATTAATGCGTCCCCTTTCCTGAGATATAACTTTTTACAAGACACCTTAACTCTAATATTTCTCTTGTCCTTCATTTTTCAATCCTCTTGTTCAATTAGAGAGAGTGTTTCTATTAGAGGGTTCACAATTTTTGCATTTTTTAATTATATTAATTTAATTTTTAAAAAATTTTTAAAGGCAATTATTACCTCAAATTGTTTGTTGTGTTGAAAAAATAGAATTACATTTTGATGTTAATTGGACAGCAATAACAGTTGAAGAAATTGCTTGGATGTGTATTAGATTAATTAGAAAAAAAGTTAGAGAAATTGTTAAAAGGCGGCCAAATGATCATATTTTCTTAGCTGGTTGGGGAACTACTTGTTGGTTAAATCATAAAGTAAGTTTGGAAAAAAAATATTTTTAAAAGTTAAAAAAAATATTTTCTAAAGGTTATTTCTAAAGTTTCTGGTGTTTCTGGACTTTTAAATTTTGCTTTTCCAACAGAAAGTGCTTGTGGTTCTAGAGGGGTGAATTTTTTTAATTTGTTAATTTCATTTTTTTGGTGGGAAAAATCTTTTTTTTCTATGAGTTTTTTTGAGTTTTAAAATTTCAAAAAAATTTCGTATACTTTCAAAAAAATTTCGTATAAAAAATTCCATATACTTTACCCAAAAATTCAACTCAAATTCTCCTCCGAAATTCGAACCTTTACCCCTACACAATTACATTTCCGTCGCTTTACCCACTCGGCCAAGCAGCAGCTTCATTAATAAATTAAATTTAATAACCTTAATTTAATTTCTAAAATAGAGTGTTGATGATGAAATTTGTTTAACTTACCCTTCCACCCTTTTTGTTGTTGGAGAAGAAGCCTCAAATGTTAGTATGAAAGCTATTCAACAATTGAGAAAAAATATGATTGGTTTATTTTTTAATTAATTTTAAAATTTTTTTATTTTTCTAGCTGATACCGGTTTAATTGTTATTGGAAGTGCAAATCATAATTTATTAGTTTCTGAGGCTAGATTAGCTGTTGAAAGGGTTACACAATTTGTTGTTCAAAGAACTATTGTGGTAAAAAAAATTTTTTTTTCTAATATTCTTATAAAGTCTTTGGCTTTCTATTTCCTTAAAACGAATGCTCCAATAAATGCCCACTCTCTAATAGAAGCCCATATTCAATAAAAGTTCTTGGGCGTCTATTAGAGAGTGAGCGTTAAAGTCTTTGGCTTTCTATTTCCTTAAAACTAATGCTCTAATAAATGCCCACTCTCTAATAGAAGCCCATATTCAATAGAAGTTCTTTGAATGGTCTTTTATTAGAGAGTGGGCGTTTATTAGAATATTTTTGGTGATTTATATTTCAATTTATTTTTTAAAGGAATATACAATCCAATTTTTGAAACAAGTAATTTCTGATTTGGGTCCACCAAAACAATGCCGTGAATTTTTGACTCCCGTCAGTTTGCCAAATATTCATGAAATTGATGTTGCTTTTCTTAAACCTATTGGTGCGCAAAGAATTAGAAAACCTGTGGAAAAGAAAAAGGAGGATACAACAAAGTATATAATTTTATTTTTACTAAAGCTTCTAAAAGAAAAGATGGGAGAAATTTGCGGACAGGATTTGCGGACGTCCGCATCTTTGTTTTGTTTTTTAAGATCTTGGTCTAAATAAACAACGTTTTTGGGCCAAATAAATAATTAAATTTGCGAAAAAAAAATTTTTAGATTGGAAAATTAATGGGAAAATTAAATGAAAAAATCAATTATTTTTTTCAAATTTCCTGCTAATCAACAAACTTTTTAATTTTTTTTCAGAAAATTCAACAACAAATTTCCTTTCCCCAATCCACCACCACCACCATCTTCTGCCCCACCAGCCAAAGCAACATTTAAACCAACACAAATAGCTTCAAATTTACCTCCAAATCTAAAACCTATAGCCCCAACAGAAACTTCAAGACCTTTAAATACATCAACAACACGTTCTTCTTCCTTTTCTGTCACTAAAAAACTTTCGACAGATTTAATAAAAATTCCAAGTCCAGAAGCATTAAATAAAATGCATTTACAAATTAGACAACAAACAAGTAACAATCAAATAGCTACTACATCTTCTTCAAGTCTTCAAGAAACAATTAGAGAGGAGGAGGAAGCTGCGGCAGCACTGGCACTTTTAAAATAAAAAATTTTGAAAAAAATTTTTGAGAAAATTTTCTTTTGATTGATTTTACCTGCCACAAACATTGAAAAATCCCCTGTTTATTTTTGAATGTGTGTACAAATAAAAAAAGTTTGAATGTTTTTAATTTTTAAGTTAAATATATTTTTGTGGGGGCAACCTTTATATTGTTTCTGATCAAAGCTGTTGTGAATTAAAAATCTTCAAAAAATTTAAATCGAAAAGAAAAAATTACTCGAACCCCGAAACTTCGAAACAACTATTGTAAACCTGTATTAACTACCCTGGGTAATTATTGTTTCGATCTCACTGTAGGGGGTAATAAATATGGATGGGGTAATTATTTAATGGAGGGTCACTAATACAGTTTTTACGGTATGTTTCTGATAAAATACCTTTAAGAAATAAATTCAAATTTAAAATCTAAGTTACCTAATCTTCTTGTGAATTCTCCCAAATTTTTTAAATTTATTTTCCATATAAAATAGCCCTATAAAATAATTTTCAAATTTTCTATTAAAAAATGCCAAACACATCAAACAGAGAGAAAAGGGCGGTGTTTCTCTTTATTTTAGTCAAAAGTTTGATTCATTGCCTTGTTGATAAGTTCTTTCGGCAACAAATGAATATACCTAATTAACTATCTATTGAAGGGAGTATAAAACTGATTATTTTAAAAATTAATTGTCATTAAATAAATTTTTTGGGAAATAAGTTTTTATAGAAAAAATATTTTTAATAACCATAAAGTTTTTTTAAAAATTATTTTCTATCAGATTCTGATATCTTAAAAACATTTTTGTATTTTTAAAACTGTAACCCTTCCACTTGATATTCACATTCATTCTGGTATGATTCCTAATTCAACTGCAAAGCAACAAACTTCCTTTAATTCTCAAACTATGCAGCAGAGTGAATATTCTACGCAACAAGTAGAAACATCTGGCATTTATGATAACACGTAAATCATTATGCTTTTGGGTATCTATACTTATGGAAGTCCATCGTTGTATTTCCAATCCTATTAAGCCAAGCAAAAATGGAGGGTTTCTTGATAAGGTGATAGTTGAGCGGTTAACAACTCTCCATCGGATAGCTTATAATTGGTCTAAGAACCGAATCCCATGCAATCTTTTACTAATTTTCTTGGATGTATCTGGCCGATTTACCCTTAGAATCAGACTAATAATTTTTTTTTCTAGTTTGGTATACAAAACAGCTGAAGTTACTATTACTCAGCAGGTTTTGTTTTTTTCTGACAAGAAACGAAATTTAACCTTCTAATTTAGTATATTATAATGCCGCAACCTGAGGCGAATTCTCTTAGTCAACAGCAACCAACTATTCCATCTACCACTCATACTACAGAAAAGCTTTTTTCTCCAAGTCAAAGTGTTATCCAAACCGAGACTATTATTAATGCTTCTATTGGAGTGTCCGTGGTTGTAGTTTCGAAGCCGGTTTTTAACTTTCTATCCCAAATATGAAAGATATTAAAGAATTTTCAGAGTAATGTTAGTGCCTCAAACAGTGGAGGAAATTTGTTGTCAGTCAATGCTTCAAGCAAACAGACAATGTCTGTGGAAACAAAAAAGAATTCGGCTGTTAATCAAGAGAGTATTGAATCTTTCAATTTTGGATCCATACCTGCTACTGTTAACGGTACTTTGGTTTTGTTAAATTTACTAACAAATAAGGATTTAACTTTTTCGGATTTCTTTTTTATTTCCAAAATAGAAGAAATCTTGGCCTTCTAAAATTCTCAAAATTTTCCCGGATCCCGTGTCGGGATCCGGGATCGGGATTACCATTCCAAAATCCCGATCCCGGGTTTTTCTCTAAATCCCGATACCGCTTAACTCTACTTTTAAATCAACAGTTTGGATTGAAAATGAAATTGGGGACAAGTTTCATTTTCAAAATTAACAAGTTTCATTGAAAATTAAACTTGTTAATTTTTAGTCTTGAGCTTAGGGTCAAGTCTTGGTCTTGAGTCTTGGAAAATTTTCGGTCTCGGACGTCTCTAGTAACTATACTAAAACTTTGGATACTTTATGGGAATAAGTATAACTATTCCAATACTCCCACCCATTGTTGACATAGGGTTATAAAGCAGAGCCGGGTACTTATCGCCATGATAAGAACATAAACATGAAGAAAGTTATAAAAATTTTTTTTTGTGGTACTCATTCTGATATTAATTTTACAATTTTTAGCTCCAATTCCTTCTGATCAACATTTAATGTCAATAAATCATAATTCAGTGTTTGGTTTGTCACCTATCTTGTCTCCTAATTATGTTTGTTTGTTCAATAATTTCTCCTATTTTCCATAGGCTATAGCCTCGTATAGCCTCGTTTTTGCGGATTATTACCTAGTAATCCGCAAAATTTCAATGTAGGAAGAACGATTTACACTCAACGACCGACACGGATCCATTGTAGGAGTAGTGTAAAAATCTTGTTTAACAAATATTTTCTGAGATTTTTTTCTTTAGACTTTAAACTAAATATCCTCATATTTACTTCCTTAGAACAAAACAAGGTAGTTTTCCCAAAGTAGTTTTGCGGACTCCTTTTTGCACAGAATGGTCAAAGCTTCTTCCGCCCAACAAAGCAAGAAGGTTCTTCCTTCCTCGATTTTACTCAATTTTCCTTGTGGCTTCATTTAATGAGAGCACAGAAAAAATGATAAAATCGAAATAGAAAGAAAGAACCTTTGACCATTCCATGCAAAAATGAGTCCGCATAAAATGTCCGCAAAAACTACTTTAGAATAACCAATAAGTACGCAAAACAATACTTCAAAACAAATCATCAGTAGAGTTGTCGGTTTCACCAAATTAACCGAAACTGAATTAAAAATCTTCGGTTTTTCGGTTCGGTTCGCTAATCATAAGGTTATTTATTCTACTATCATAGCGTAAGGATGTTGAGAAATGTTTTCAAAAAATTAGGGGAATATTGTTAAAAATATGATTAAAAACAAAAATATTTTTAAAAATCTATACATAAAATTTTAATTATTTACAGCAAAAAAATAATCCATTGTGTTCTTGGCTAGAAACAGAATCTAGCTCTTTTGATGAAATCGTACGTAGTGGAATAGAATCTTGTCATCGGTCGAAAAGATTTTCTGGAGCCGATACGAGTTTTTCTCCATTTATTACGCCACAAAAAAAAATTATTAACAAGAATGAAGAAAAAATATTGATATTAGAAGAAGAAAATAGAAAATTGAAAAAAGAAATTTTAATTTATAAGGAAGAGTATATTCCAGAATCTATTAACGTGTATGAAGAAAAACAAATTTCAGAAGAAAATAGAAAATTAAAAAAGTTGTTGACACGAGAAGGTGAAGAAAAGAGGATTTTAGAAGAAGAAAATAATTTTTTGGCAAAAGAAAATGATAATTTAAATGAACTGTTGTTGGAAAAATGTCAAGAAAATGAAAATTTAAAAGAGGAAAAAAATATGTCAGATGCTGAAGCTATATTATACATGCGATTCAGCAAAGTATTGCTTGACAACAACAAAACTTTAAACGACTGTCTTAAATCCCAACAACATTTGAATACTTTACTCGAGAAAAATGCTATGGAAAAGGGAGAGATTGAAAAGGTACACCAACAATTAAGTGATTTTAACAACAACAAAAAGAAGATAAATAAGTATGTTTTTTTGTGTTTTTAAAGGAAAATTCTTTTTTTTTTTTTGAATTGGAAATTTGAATAATCCCCCTTCTTCCTTCTTCCTCCCTCCTTCCTTCTTCCTTCTTCCCTCCCTATCCACTTAAGATCGAGCTGGACCTAGACCAAGGCTTGGGGTTTTCCTGTGCCAAGAGTCCAAGCCCAGATCCAACCCCCTCTTCTTCTTCCCTCCCTATCCACTTAAGATCGAGCGGACCTAGACCAAGGCTTGGGGTTTTCCTGTGCCAAGAGTCCAAGCCCAGATCCAACCCCCTCTTCTTCTTCCCTCCCTATCCACTTAAGATCGAGCTGGACCTAGACCAATTGCTTAAGGTTTTCCTATGCCAAGAGTCTAAGCCCAGGCTTTTCAAAAATCTCGAACTCTACTATCCACTTGCCCCTTCCTTCCCTCGTTATTTGAATAAAGAGAAACACACACCTTCCAGCTTCAATCTCTTCTTTTTACAAATCTATATTTTATTTTTACTCTGATTTGCCTCTACTATTAAGGTTGGCGAATCATGACAAATTATCGGGTATTTCCTTCTTGAAATTTGGAATAAGCCATTCCTAACACATAATTTACAATACACTGGCTTTTTCTCGCCGGGGTTCGTCAATCTTATTCGCTATTATTCTTCTCTTTTATTCATGCTCATTAAAAAATTAATTATATAATAATAATAATAAATTAATAAAAAAATAATAATTAAAAAAAAAGAATTTTTAAAAAACACAATTTAACTATAGCACAGATTTAAACACTCATTCTTTTATTTTTTACAGATCTAAAATGTTAGATGATAAAATTTTTGGGTGTGTTTCTCCTTATTTATTTTGTGGTGATAAAGGTAAAGTTTTTTTTAGTCTCCTAAATTTTAAAAATTTTATCTTAATTCATTAAAATAACCCGGAATTTTGAACCGAACTAGGGTATGGAATAACGATAACTACAATTCGGGATCCCGATACCTATAAAAATTTGAAAAAAATTTATTTTAAAAATTAAAAATTTAATTTTTTAAGAAAATAATCCTGCCTTACAAACGTGCAGCACTAAATCAATTTTAAAAAATACAGAGAAGGTCGACAAATCAAATTACAAAAGAATTTCTTTCTCAAAATATAAAAATATATTTTATATTTAAATTTGTGGGACACGCCCAAGTAGGCGCGCGGCCAAGTAGGCGCAAAGCCATAACTAGCTGCAAAATTTCTGTCCCTTATCAATTTTGGTACCAATCTCTTTAGCTCGATGAGAGGAATCGTTTAATACCAAATTTGGTAAGATTCGTAAATTTTGAAGCAAGTTATGGCTTTGCGCCTACTTGGCCGCGCGCCTACTTGGGCCGTACCCTAAATTTGTATTTATTTTTTACTAATTTATTAACTCTTTAATTTAAAGAAACGGTTCAATTACATATTTTTTTTTGATATTTTAAAAATTAAGTTTTTATATTTGTATTTTTTTCTAACTAATTTATTTCATGATAAAACTTTATCTTTTTTGTTTTTTATTTGATAGGTCGAAAACCTTTAAATATTTTTTTGTTATTCTAGTAGCAATAAGCAAGGAGCAGTTCAACTGAGTCCCGGCCCTATAGCAAGGAATGGTCGCTTTTTCATGTTCTTAGTATCATTGGATAGAGAATCAAAAGCTCTATAACGTTTCAAAAAATCGGAATTTTTGACCGATTGCTAAAAAAGTTATGATTTAAAAACTAACCTTTTCAAAAAATCCGATTTTTCGGCACTTTATCGATCATAACTTTTTTACCAGTCGGTCGGGAATTTTGATTTTTTGGTATATTGTAGCCTATTTAATGCCCTATCCAATGGTACCAAGAGTAACAAAAAGTGACCATCCCTTCATAAGTTATAGGGTCCGGGACTCAATTGAGGTGTACCGAATAAGCATATACTTTAAAAATACTCGTAAATGATCTGATAAAAGATTACATTGAAAATAAAGATCTTTGACCTCTATTAGAGAACATTTACGTTAAATTTGCGGCAAAAAATTTCAAAAAATTTTTTAAATTTATTAGAAATTCCGACGAATTTGTTTGCTTTATTTGACTTTGTTTTTTTAGAAAATATTAACTTATCCAATTTGTTTTTTAAATGGCTGTTAACGATGAAAAGAAGCCTCACAGAGGTTAATTTTATTTTTGAAAAAAATTTTTATAAATTAATTTTTTTTAAAGTTCACAAAACTGGAAAGAAAATCAAAAAGAAAACTGCTCAAAATATTTCTGGAGAAAGAGGAAATAATTCAAAAGCGTTCAAATTCCGTTCTGCTCTAAAAGCTCAAAAATTGATTCGAAAGTTTGTTTTTAAATTTATTAAAATTTTTTTTAAATTTAAAGAGCAGCAGATTTGAGTGAAAAAAAGAAGCACATTCCTATTATTGAAAGACTTGTAGACACTCCTCCACCTTTGTTTGTTGCGATTGTTGGACCTCCAAAGGTTTCTAATTTTTTTAAGAAAGTAATTTTCATGACTAATTTGTGAATAAGTCATTTAAAGATTAGGTATTTTGTTGACTTTTTCCGATCAAAAAGGTGCGAAATAGTTGAAAATTGAGCTGGGGAATTGATTTTCGTTCCCCAGCTCTGGTAAAAAAACCTTGTAATTTTGATAAATTTACAAGTCTCTCTTTACTAATTTTAAGCCTTTGTTCCGGTTTTCCTAAAATATTCTTTATTTTTACCTTATTTTCAACTTCAAACTATCTAGGTTTCTTAATAAATTTATCTGAATTTTAACGTTGCAGCTCTCTTTGCGGACATCTTTTGCGGATTTTTTTTCTTTTACAATTTTCTATCTTTCTAAAATTTGTTCCTTTCTTCTCTTAAATTATTAAAATTATTTTTTTTATTTTAGGTCGGAAAAAGTTTACTGCTTCGCTGTCTTATAAAAAATTATGTTAGGCAGTCAATTACAGAAATTAAAGGTTTAGAAATTTATTTTCTAAATTAATTTATTTAAATTTATTTTTAAGGTCCAGTAACAATCGTTACAAGCAAAAAACGTCGAGTAACATTTTTCGAAGTTCCAAATGATATAAATGCTATGGTGGATGCTGCTAAAGTTGCGGATTTGGTTTGTTTTGTTTTTAATAAAGTTTCAATTAAAATCAGAATTTAATTAAAACATGAAAACAAAAAATCAGAAAATTTAAAATAAAAATTAAAACAAAATCAGAATTAAATAAAATTGAACAGCAAATACGAAATCAGAATTTAATAATATGTGGATGTTAATGTTGTGTTTTTAGTTTTCTGATTGTTTGTTTTCATGTTTTAAAGAGGTTTTGGTCTTTGTTTTAATTAAAATTCTGATTTTTGTTTTAATGAAATTCTGGTCCTTGTTTGGATGAAATTCTGATTGTTTTATTAAATAAATTCTGGTCTTTGTTTAAATTAAATTCTGATTTTAGTTTTATTCTGGTTTTATTTTAATTAAATTCTGATTTTGTTTGAATTAAATTCTGATTGTGTTTTATTTAAATTCTGGTTTTTGTTTAAATTAAAATCTGGTCCTGTTTGGATGAAATTCTGGTCTTTGTTTTATTCTGGTTTTGTTTTAATTAAGTTCTGATTGTGTTTGGATGAAGTTCTGATTTGTTTTAATTAAATTTTGATCGTGTTTTGATTAAATTCTGATTGTGTTTTAATTAAATTTTGGTCTTGTTTCAATTAAATTCTGGTCCTTGTTTGGATGAAATTCTGGTTTTTATTCTGGTTTTGTTTTAAAGAAATTCTGATTGTGTTTTGTTAAAATTCTGATTGTGTATTAAGATTCTGGTTTTTTGTTTAACTTAAATTCTGATTTTTATTTTTCAGGTTTTAATTCTAATTGACGCCTCTTTTGGTTTTGAAATAGAAGTATTCGAATTTACTAATATTTGTCAAGTTCATGGAATGCCTAAAATTATGGGAGTGCTTACACATATGGATAAAGTTAAAAAGAATCAATTGAAATCGGTCAAGAAGAAGTTGAAGCAGCGTTTTTGGACTGAACTTTATCCGGTTTTTTTCAAATTTTTTTTTCAAATTTGAAAGGGGATTTGGTTATATTGTGACTTTATGAAAGTGCTCTAGGACTTTTCGCATGTCGACGAATTCGTTCTTAAATTTTGGGAATTTATTTTTAGGGACACGCCCATGTAGGCGCGCGGCCATAACGGCGCAAATCCATAACTTGCTGGAAAATTTTTGGCCCTTGTCAATTTTGGTATCAATCTCTTTAGCTCGATGAGTGGAATCGTTTAATACTAAATTTGTTTAGATTCAGAAATCTTGAAGCAAGTTATGGCTTTGTGCCATTATGGCCGCGCGCCTACTTGGGCACGGCCAGAACGGCTGTACCTATTTTTAGAAATTTTTTTAAAATTTTTGACTGAATCAAGACCCTAAAATTAACAATCATCTCTATCTACCTTCTATTTATTTCTAAAAAAACTTTTTAAAGGGAGCAAAACTCTTTTATCTTACTGGAATGAAGCATAACAAATATTTACGCCACGAAATTAAAAATCTTGGAAGATTTATTTCTGTTGCAAAACTTAGGCCAATTTTATGGAGAAATTCTCATCTTTATTTGGCGTGTGATAAGGTGGAAGATTTAACTGATCCTGAGGTTTTTTTGTAAAAAATTTATAATTTTATTAATTTTTCTTAATTTTTAGTCAATTAATCAAGACCCTAAAATTGCTCGCAAAGTTTGTTTTTATGGATATGTTCGTGGAGTTCACATAAAGAACCATTCCGCTGTTCAGTAAGTTTGGAATGTTTTTAAGATTATAATGAGAGATTAGTCTGTGATTGAACATATTAGAGTCTGAAAATTTAATAAAATGTTCTTTCTTGATTTTTAACTTATTTTTATTCCTACATATGTTTATTGTATATGAAAGTAGATAACGGATCGAAAATTTCGGTCATCGAGGCAAAAAATTTTTCGAGAAAGGAAATTCTTCGAGATCTCAATTCTTGTACGACACTCCCTGTCCTCTCTCTAATATGAAGCTGTTTTAAAGCAAAATATAATTTTTTAGCATAGGTACTCGAAAAAGTTATCGAAACAAAATAAAAGACCTTGAAAGATGAAAATTAAAATTTCTAACTCAACTGTGATTTTATCGAAGTTTAAGAATAGTCTGTAGTCAAAATCACATCCATGTCTCTTTTCTGAAAAATTTTTTTCTAACTTTTATTTTCTCTTATTTTTCTATTATTTTTTTCAGTATTGCCGGCCTTGGAGATGTTTTAATTAACAATATTTCAATACTTCCAGACCCTTGTCCTTTACCTGAAAATCAAAAGAAAAGATCACTTAATGAACGTGAACAGGTTTAAAAAAATTTTTTTTAATTTAGAATAGAAGAATTTTAGATAATTTACGCTCCCTTTTCTGGCCTTGGAGGTTTGGTATTTGATCAAAATGAATTTTATATTGATGTTGGGGGTAGTCATTCTTTTTTGAAGGTTTAAGAGAATTTTTAATTTACTTTTGAAAAATTTTTTAGGGTCGGAATGAATTAGTAGAAGCAATCGATAATGTTGCCGAACCAATGGATGTAAAAGTAGAGAATGCATCGTTACAATTATTGAGTGGTAATCCTAATTTGGAGGTAAATAAATAGTTTATTTTATGGTAAATGATTATTAGACTGACCGAGTAGCCTCCATTCAGGGCTGGAAAAAAAATTTCCGCAGTCGCAATTTTTTAAATCCGCAGTCCGCAAGTCCAAAAAACACGCAATTCCATGCAGTCCGCAATCTGCGGTTGCGTTCAGCCATGCTCCTATAGATTAAGAAGGCGTTGGAAGTTTGGTATTTACTTTGCTGTAGTCTAAAAAAATTTTTTTCTTTACTTATTTCATCCTTGAAGTTATTCTAAATTATCAAATATGGAAGGACATTTAGACCTTCTTCCAATTTTCTACTAACAATAATAATCCAAATTTGTTAAGGTTGACATAAAAAGTGAGGTAGACAGTGAAGAAGATAATGAAAATGAAGAGGAAGATGAAGTTGATGATGAAGATGGAGAGGAGGAGGAAGAGGAGGATGAAGAATACGAACGTTTTGAAGACTCAGAAAATGAAGAAGAAAATAATTTAACTAATTTGGCATCAACCTCAACAGAAATGAATACATTTAGTGGCATTGCAGAGCGTTTATCTGGAAATTTTCAAGTTAAACCTTCACATAGAATAAATTGGGAAAAGCTTGTTTATGAATCTAATGAAGGTTTTTTTTAAATTAAATTAAAAAATATTTTTAAATTTTAGATGGTCTTAAAAATGAGAAAAATGTTGCTTCAACGTCCAAAAAAGACAGAACTTTTGGTGGTGGTCTTTTTAAAATTCCTGAAAATGTTTTTAATTCAAGAAATAAAATTTATTTGAAAGACAAAGATGATGGGAAATTGTGGTCATTTGAAATGTTTAATAATAAAAGTGAAAATTGTTTGGATTGGAATGATAATTGTGTGAGTTTTTTTGTTTTAATTTTGGGGGTTTTTTCAAGTCCTAAGTTTTGGCTTGAATTTTTGATGTCTGAAGGCCCTCGTTATTTTTATTTTTTTAAAAACTAATTAAGTAAGGTCCTAACAGCTGAAAGAGTCTATGAGAAAGTAAAAAGCGTAGGGCTACTCCCAGAATAAAACATCTTGGTTTCAGCAAGTTCTTCGGTCAACCAACCCCAACAAGATAAACTTAATCAAAAATTTTTCGGTTTGCGAGAGAAACCAACAATCATAAAAATCAACGATTTAGTTTTCTTTTGACTCCTTTTTATAAACCGTTATTCTTTGTTAGGTCAGAGATTCAATTCGTGATTGTTGGGTAACTGGAGAGTGGGAAAACGAAGATGACAATGAAGAAATAAGTGACGATGAAGAAATGAATAAAATTTCGAAAGGTTTTTAGATTCATATTTTTTAAATTCATTTTTAAATTTTAAAAGATGGATTAGAAAAATTTAAAATTGAGAAAAAAGAAGTATCTTCCCAAAACTCGGATGATGAGGAAATGAATTATGATTCAGATGAAATGATGGATTTTGACATGACTGAAAATATGGAAGAAAAAGTGACAAAAGAAAAAGATGATAACAATGTGAATCTAGACGAGAATGAAGGTTTTTTAAAGAATTTTTATTTTTTGTAAGGAGCGGAAGGGAGTAGCTGGCTAGCATTTACATAAAACGCGTACTAGGCGAGTCAAAATCTATCAAAAGAGAAAGTGGAAGCATGGTCTTGTGATGTCCAAGACCGAAAACCTCAAGTGAGGTCTTGGGTCGATACTTAAAGCAATGAGTCTTGGACAGCTCTAGCATCGTTCTGGCAGCTCACGCTAGTCAGTATAATATTGTACATGTTGAGCCAAAGTGCCTAGCAATAACAGCCATGAGGTAGCAGGATCGATGTCTGTCCGGGCTAAACATCTCTTTTGTCTAATTAAAAAGTTTTTAGAGAAAAATGAAGGTGCTGAACCCATACAAAAAGAAAAGAAAGACAGGTTAAAGCAACAATTTGATGCTGAATTTGACAGTACAAATGCAAAGTATAATGAAATGAAGGAGGAATATGAAAAACAATCTAAAGTATTTATTTCTAAAATTCTTCAAAAATGTCCGCAAGATTTGTCCGCAAGTTGCAATAATTATTTTAAAAGGGATTACTTTTAAAAATTGTTTATTTTATGCATCAAAAACAATTTTCTTCTTCATTTTTTCGTCTCTTATAAAAATCTTTCGATAAAATAAATTGTGTGACTTGCGGACAAAACTTGCGGACTTTTGGAAGGATCTGGGAAAAGAATATTAATTTTGTAAAAATTTTCAAAAAAATTTTTTCAGTTAAACAAAGCAGCTTTTGAAGATTTGGATGAAACAAAAAGAGCAGAATTGGAAGGTTTTCGGCCTGGTTTGTATGTAAAAATTGAAATTGATAATATTCCTGCATCATTTATTGAGTGTATGGACCCGCGTTTTCCGTATATTATTGGTGGTCTTTTGCCTGGAGAACAAAATAATGGTTATGTTAAAGTAAGAAAATTTTAATGTGATTCTTTGGTTTTTGGGATATTTTTGTAAATTTTTTAAAAAAATATTTTAAACTTCGAATTTGGAGATCAGTAGGAGAGTTTCCTTTATTTTAGTGTATTTACCCCCCCCCCCCCCCCTCCCTTGAATTTTGGTAAAACACAAAAATCATTTTCTTTTCGGAAAACAATTTTTATTTTTAACTGCTAGTTCTCCTAGGTTGATAATTGTAGGTCTTTTAATTTTAAATATGATTAGGTGATTCTTGTTACTCTCAATTTTTTATTTTTTTGCATAGGCTGTCTACTTTTCAAATTTAAAAATATGTTTTTTATTTTTTTTTCTTTTTTAAAAATAGGTTCGAATTAAAAAACATCGTTGGTATGACCGTTTACTCAAATCTAGAGACCCTTTAATTATTTCTTGTGGATGGAGAAGATTTCAAACAATGGTTATTTATTCTGTTCTAGATCATGACCACAGAGAAAGATTTTTTAAATATACGCCAAAAGAAGCTTTTTGTCATGGAGTTTTTTGGGCACCTTTTGTGGCACAAAATACTGGATTTTTGGGGTTACAATCTGTTGATGAGGAAGTGGTATGTAGGTGGAGGAGGGGGATTTTTTTGCATTTTTGAAAATAAAAAAATTGCGGATAAAATTTGCGGACTGTCCGCACAAAATTTTTTTGTCCGCAAAAATTTTTAAATTAAAAAATTTTTTTTCTTTCAGAAATCATTTCGCATTGCGGCAACAGGTGTTGTACTTGGTGTAGATAAATCAACACAAATTGTTAAAAAGTTAAAATTAGTTGGACAACCACTAGAAATATATAAAAAGACTGCTTTTATTAAAGTTTTTTAATTTATAAAAAATTTAAAAAATTCTAATTTAAAAGGGAATGTTTAATAGTGCATTAGAAGTTGCAAGATTTCAAGGAGCTGCAATTCGTACAGTTAGTGGAATACGTGGAATAGTTAAAAAGGCTATTAAGACACCTGATGGAGCTTTTAGAGCTTCTTTTGAAGACAAAATTGCGGGGAATGGTTAATTTTAAATAATTTTTTATAATTTTTTTTGAGTTGTTTATGCTCTATTTTAAAGGGGAAAGGGTCTATTTTTGTGAGAAAATGATTGTGTTTTATAAGACAGACCAGGGATGGATCGGGTTGAGAAAAAATGTCGTGTAACGGTTCGAATCGGGTTTTTAAAGTTTTCTCTGGGGATTTCTTTCGGATCGAAGAAATCCGGGCTCTAAATTTGACAAAAGATGTAATTGCATTTATTTTCTTTTTTACGATCCAAATAATTAAACTAAAAACTATGAAGGATTTTTTAGAGAAATATGATTGTATCCCACGATAAGGGTCAGGTTGGGAAAAAATTTTCCGCAAAAAATTCCTTTTCTTCTCCCTCAACTAATCTTTTCTTCAGATATAATATTCCTCAAGGCTTGGGTTGATGTCCCCGTTCCAGAATTCTTCGTTACAATGACAGATAAATTGTTGCCTACAGTTGAAAAATGGTTGGGAATGCGTACAGTTGGGAGACTACGGCACGAATTGGGGTTGAAAATTGAACAAAAAGAAGATTCTGGTTATCACAGGAATTTAAAAAATGTAAAGGAAAAAATTTTAAAATTCAAAAAAAAATTTTTTCAGCAATTAGTAGAACGTCCTTACATTAAATCAGAATTGGTTATACCCAAAAAACTGCAAAAACAACTTCCATACAATTTAAAACCTAAAATAGAAAAATTAACAGACAGAAGAAATGAAAATAAAAATAAATCAGAATTAATACAAAAACATACAGCATTAATACTTGAACCTAAAGAAAGTAGATTACACGCGATGATGAAGATGTTAAAAACTGTAAATGAAGATAAGAGAGAAAAGGAGAAGGAAATGAATGAAGCGAGGCTTGAAAAACGGAAAAAGGTGGGGGGAAATATATTTTTTATTTAAAGGGAAAATTCCGGAAATGATCAGGATTTAGTATTCTTCCGGAAAAAATTCAGAATTTTCTGCGGGTATTTCGCAGAACGTTATTCTTTGATTTTCCTGAAAAATTCAGAACTAATCTCTACATTTTCCGGATCTTTTTCAGTATTTTTATATATATTTTCCGGAATGATTTTATAATTCTATTTATTCTTCCGGAAACGTTTAGAATATTTATATATTTTATTTTTCCGGAAGTTTCAGAATTTATTTTTATATTTTCTGGAAAGACTTGATAATTTATTTCAGTTATTCCGGAAATTTCAGAATTTTTCCGGAAAGAATCAGAATTAATTTTCTTTATTTTCCGGAACATTATTATTATTCTTATGTATTTTCCGGAATGATTTTAGAATTTTATGTATTTTCCGGAACGCTTTCAGAATTTACTGAAGTTATTTCGTAGGTTTCAGAATTTTTTTTCGTTTTTCCAGAATAATTTCAGAACCTTTCCGGAAAGAATAGGAATTAATTTTTGTATTTTCCTAAACTTTTTTTCAGAATTTATTTAAAATACTTTTTCAGGAATTATCCAAAATTAACGAAAAACGGACAAAGAAAATGAAAGAAACCAGAAAAGCTTATTGTAGGAATTTATCGAAAAGGGAGGGTAAACAAATAAAAGATGCTATAGAAACGATTGGGGCTTAAATTTTTTGTTTTTGTTATTTATTTTTGTTATTTTTTAAATTAAAAATTTTATTAATTTTTAATTCTTCAAAAAGGGTCATCCTTTCCAAAAAATTCCAAAAAAAAATTCATTTTAATTAAATATCCAAAAATGTTTTTAAACAAAAACCATTAAAATAAAGAGAAGAAAAAAGAGATTAGGCTAATTTTTGTTGATTATTTCTTCTTTAAAGAAATATATAAAATTAATTGTTTATAGCCAAAATGAAAGGAATTTATTCAAAAAATTAATTTAAATGTTTAGGCACTAAACGGCAATTATTTTTTTTAGTTTAATTGAAAAAAATTTGGATTAAAATAAATAGGATGGAGGAATGGACTATTAAAAGATGTTTAATTTGGGCATTCTTTTTGCTAGAAAATTTAAATTAAAAATTTTTCTGGTCGAAAAAAATTTTTTTTCTTCCGATAAATGTCATCTTTTAATATTTCTGCTCTTCTAAAGGAAGAGAAAAATTCTCCAAGTAAAATTGAAATGAACAATAACTGTCCATTTTCGTATTTAAATCAAAATAATTTAAAATACCAATATTTATGTCAAATGGAAAAGAGGAAAAATTTACAAATTTTTCTTCCAAAAATTTTATTTTTGCCCACAAATCCATTCCAGCTATTTTTTCCTAATCGTTTGAAAAGTCCATTTAATGAAGATTTTAATGAGAAAATAAATTTTAAAAATTTAAATAAAAATGAAAACAAAATTGATAAAAATAAGAAAAATAGTTTTGTGGAGAAGAGGACATGTAAAAACAAACGTTGCTGTGTTGATAAAAGACCGAGAGCTTGTTTTAATAAAAAGCAGGTAAACAAAAATTTTATTATTAAATTCTGAAATTTGTATTTTTGATTACCTAAATTAATTCTGAAAATTCCGGAAGGAAATACAAATAGTAAAAATTCCGGAAAACACAATTTCTGGAAAATACAAATAAAATAATTTCCGGAAGGAAAATACAAATAGAATTATTTCCGGAAAATACAAATAATGTATTTATTATTAAATAATTGTTTTCCTGATCACTAAATTAATGTGTTTTGCGGAAAAAGTGAAAAAACACAATTTATTTCCGTAAAATGTTTCAGAATTATTAACTACAAAGTGTTTTCCGAAAAATCTTCGGAAATGCTTGAAGAAATTTAGTCTTATTCCCCTTTAAATCTGGAAATGTTTTTCATTATTTTTCAGATTTCCTTGTTGGAACTTCGCTTTTCCGAACAAAAATATTTAGCCTCAACAGAACGAGCTTTGCTTGCTTCACAATTAAAAATACGTGATGGACAAGTAAAAACTTGGTTTCAAAATAGACGGACAAAATGGAGGCTAGAATAATTTTTAAAATTAATTTAAAAATAATTTTTTTTATTTTTAGGCGTAAAATAGATGAAGAGGAAAGTAGAAAGAAAAGTGAGAGAAAATAAATAATATTGTAGTTATTCCGGAAAAAGTTTCAGAATTGTAAAACTTTCCGGAAATGTTTCTGATTTATTCTCTTTAGGTTCTCCGGAATTTTGTTGTCCAATTTTAAGTTTTCCGGAAGCCTAGGAATTATTTATTTGTGTTTTCCGGAAAGTTTAATTTTTCCTTTTATTTTTTCCGGAACAGAATTAATTGTAAAGCTTCAAGTCTCAAAACAAATATATCAACCCTTTAATATATTTTCCAAACTAGCTTACATATTTATCAATTAAAAATTGTTTAATTAAAAAATAAATTAAATAAATTAAAAAATTGTTTTAAGCCAAGTATTTTAAAAACACTTAAAATTAAGTATTTATTTCTTGCGAGTATTATATCTTCTTCCCCTTTTTTGAGTCCTTTTGTTAACAGCAACACTCTGTGCAGCTTCAAGTTCAAAAATTTTATTTTTTAAACGTTGAACTTGACGACGTAATAAAGCATTTTCACGGTCTTTAGCTTCCTTAAAAGGAAAAAATTACTTAGAAAATTTTTTGGGAGATTTGAGATGAACCAAAATGATTGAGAGAGGAACCAAAAAACCAAACCAAAGAGGAATCTAATTCCAAGGACCAACCATCTATTAAAGACTGGATCGATATGTTATATCGATGGAAAATATCGATGTCGATATTATCGATGATCGACTGAAGTCCGGTCTCTACTCTCTATTAATACCACCCAAAAGACTTCCCAAAACCCTTTTAAAAATAAATTAATTAAATCTTTCCCACCTCCCGTTTAGACATTTGTTCAAGAAAATCATCCATCATTAAAATATATCGATCCTTCCTCTTTTCATTTGCATCTTTAAACAAGCTATTCTTCTTTTCTTCCATTTTTTCTTCTTTCTTATTCTTCTTTGTTTTCTTTTCTTCATCCTTTTTATTTTTCCTCCTTTTATCTTCATCAAAAGAAGAATTTATTGACAATCTACGAATAGCTTCTTCTGCTTCAGAAGTAAAAGATTCTCTTCTTTCATTATTAAAATCACCCGCTAAAGTTGATTGATCATCCTCCTCCTCCTCTAATTCATCTTCTTTTTCAATAACTTCATTTATATTGACCAGACTTCTCCATTCAAATTCATCATCCTCCTTATCTTCATTTTCTTTTTCATCATCTTTTCTTCCTCCTCCTTCATTTTTATTTTCTTCTTCGCTCTTCTCCTCCTCCCAACCTTTACTTTCTTCACTCCCTCCACTCTTCCTCTTCTCTTTCCTTTCTTCATTCTTCTCTTCTTCCACCTTTTTCCCATCTTCCTTCTTATTTTCTTCCTCCTCCTTATTTTCCTTCTCCTCCTCATCCCTTCCTCCCTCCTCCCAATTATTCTTCTCTTCACTTCCATTCATAAATATATTTACTTCTTCATTCCCGCTCTCTTCATCTCCATTTAATCCTTCACTTTCCTCGCTCCAATTCATTTCTCCATTTGACGATCTATCAACACTTCCATCTCCATTTTCCTTCAAATACTCAGCTGTCATTAAATCCAAATGTTTACTTGCTTTTTCCAAAGCTTCAGTCGACCCCTTCAAACAAACAAATTGGAAACCATCAGGTCTTGGACGATGAAGTTGGTAGGAGGTTAGACCAAATTTTATCTGAACAAAAAATAATGATGACTCGGTTAATTTTAGTTATCCTTTCTTTTTTGTTTTTCGTCCTCTTATTGTTGAAAAATATTTCAGGAAAGTATCCCTTCCCCTCTCATCAGTCAGTCAGCAGGGATGAGTCGGGGGTTATTCAAAAAAAACTCCAATTTGTAAAACCTTTTCTTTCGACCCAGAACCCAATCCGAAGAAAATTTTGGAAAATGAATCCGAAACCAGACCCTGCATTCTTTCTCAACTCATCCCATGCCTTCCTCTCCCACCAAAAAATTAAAGAAAACTTCACACCTTTATTTTTATCATAATTTTAGCAACTTCTTGGGGCACCAAAACTTCCATTTGCGAATCCTCAACAAATTTTCCCCAATCATTTCCAGTATTATCCACCCTTCTTCGTCTATCAAGATCAACATAAATTAAATTGTTGTTGTATTTTGGCGACCATTTTTCAATAAATTCTCTTTGTATAAATAATTTGGCCATTTGAACTTTTTTGTCGGTTTTCCCAGTTATTCGTAAAGTTCGTCCTTCATTATATTGAGCTTTGTTGTCCCCAAGAAATACTAAATTTACATCCAATTCTGTCTGAAAAATTGAAAGGGGAAATAGAGGAAATAAAAATAAATTTTAAAAAATTGGGAAAAAATTTACAAAACGGTAAGACTAGTCGACCTTAAAGTCACTAAACCTAAAAAACATAAAAAATTAATTTTGATACGTCCAACACATTGCAAGATCGAATAGATGAGTTGGTTCAAAAACTAAAAATGTTGTTAAGTCCTAAAGGCACAGGGGAGACCACGGTTAAATTAAAAGAACTCTAAGTCAGGGATGGGTCGGTTACCCAAAACTCAGACTTTCTGACTCGATATCAGACCCGACTTTTTCTCAATAAACTAGCGAGACAACCCACAAAACATCAAAAAATTAAAAAATTCAAAAAAATACCTTCAAAGATTTAATTCTTTCCCCTCTTTGCCCAAGCACACCCAAAAAGTTTGGATACGGCACAACAAAATCGATTGAAGGAAATGTAGTTGTTTGATCATCCAAAGAAGACAAAAATGTAGTTGTTGGAGGTGAAGTCTTTTCCTCTTCAACTGGAGAATACTTTAAATTAAAAAAAAACAAAAATTTAAGAAAAAAAATTCCAAACAAACTCTCAAGTCAAAAATCAATTTGGAAATTCTCTTTTTTGTTTCAACAACATTGGCCAATTCTCCTTTTAATACTAAAAAGCGTCCATCTTGAGGCTTATCTTCTTTATCAACAATAAAATCGACTTTTGAAGTTCTCTAAAAAATTTAAAATTTTAAACAGGAAATTTAAAAATTAATAAGAAGAGACGGTTTTTGATAGAATCAACAGTTTGGAGATCGAGAGGATGAGATTTCGAAAAAAATTTGGTTAATAAGATGGGTATATTTTCAAGATAACGATCTAGAATACACCCAATACTATTTCTGTGTTTAATCTTTACACAGATTTTAATCAGTTTGGAATTTTGATAATCCCCATAACTAACCAAGGGAACATTTTTCTAGAACAAATGAATTATTTAAATAAAATATTTTTGAGTTGTCAATTAAAGTAAGATCTTAATTGGACAAGTATATTCCAAAGATTTAAAGCAAAATTCAAGTGACAAGTATCAAGGGCGTATCCAGGGGGGGGCTGGGGGGGGCTAGAGCCCCCCCGAAATGGGGGAAAGGGGGAAAAAATTAGGAGAAGGATTGTCGAAAAAGTGAAATTTCTTCGCCTACAACCCTCAAATTTTAAAAAATTTTCGCCTGCGGCGCAAAAATGGAAGAAATCTGGCTTCTTGAGCTCCAAAATCCTCAAAATTTTCGCCTGCGGCGCTAAAAAGTGAACTTTTTTGGCCTACGGCCCTCCAAATTCAAAAAATTTTCGCCTGCGGCGCTGAATAAGTGAATTTTTTTGCCTACGGCCTTCTAAAATTCAAAAAATTTTCGCCTGCGGCGCAGAAAAGATAAAAATTTATGTACAAAAAAATTTGCGTCCGGAACGCAAAGGTAAACGCCAAAAATTTTTGCGCCCACCCTGTGTTAGCCCCCCCCGAAACCGACCCCCTGGATACGCCCTTGACAAGTATAGGGTTCTCGGTTCAGGAAAATCCAAAACGATTTAAAGTTTAGAAATTAGTTGGGAGCCCTGATCAATAGAATGAAGTAGAGCGAGGCATTCGGACCTGAACTCCTCCCAATTAAAGGGCCGCACAAAAAATACTAAAAAGAAATCTGAAAAAAACCTGAATTTCTCGAAATTGTTTCTTCTGTTCTTCACTAAAAGCACTAAATAGAGGCACTTTAATCCTTTCTTCAGCCAAAGCAGTTTTTCCCAAAGCCGACATTCTTTTTCCATCAGCAGGTCCATAAGGATTTAGATCCAAAGCAATTTTGACCATATAATTTATTTGAACCCTCGCAGACCAAATTCCATCCAATTTGGTCCCCTTCAAAATTAAACGGCCAAAACCTTCAGGGACGGGGTCAGAATGTCCGCCATCCATTAAAGCAATAACATTAAAATCATTCTAAAAATTGAAAAAAATTTAATTTCTAATCCAAACAGTGGCTTTAAAAATCAACTTAAAAATTGTAGTTAGGGAATAAAATCTAGGAAGGTAGAAAATTCATGAGGACTGAGTTCTTTTAGAATTTAGGTCTAATTGTAAGACAGTGAATTAGAAGTTTGTAGAAATAAATCCATACCAATTTTTTAAAAATAATCTCGGGGACTAGTATTGTAAAGCTGAGAAAATTTTAAGAACGAATTTTAGGTAAAAATTTTGGCCCTTATTTAACACTTCCCCTCGATACACCTTACAAGGAAACCTTTCGAAATGTACCAATCGATAGAGCATCATCGATCTACTCGTGTAGATCTCCGGCTTTTTTGGCTAGAAATATGAAACTAAAAAGTTATAGGACTTCAAAGTTTGCCAAAAAAGAGAAAAGGAACACAAGAAGACGATTTACCTAAAATTATTTTCTAAAAAGAATCCTATCCCCTAAACGTTCCAAAAATCCAAACAAAAATTTCCAAAAACAAACCACAATTTTTTTTAAAGTAGATCCATTTCTTCCAACAACGTACCCGCACTTTTGATTCGGAATTAAAATTCTTGTACTTATTTTAAAACGTAATTTTTCATTTTCATTTGCTTCTTCAGCAAATTTTAATATTTTAAATATTTTTTCAAAACGGTCACTTAAAAACAAAAAAATCTTTTTAAAAATTAAAAAAATTTAATACTCATTTTCATCCTCGGTACCATTCATTATTATCCAAATAGCCTTACTTTCAGCCCGAGGTTCAATTTTACATCCAAATTCTTTCCATTTTAAAAATACTTTTGAACTTATTTTTTCAATTACTGAAAAATAAAAAATTTAAGAAGAAAATTTTTTTGAGTTATACTAGAGGTCCCTGAGCTTTGGAGGAAAAATCGGGTCTTTTTAAGAAAAATGACTAGACTTGAAATAACATTTTGATCAATAACTGGATCCTTTAAGTTAACAGTTTTTATTGCGGACAAAGAGTTGCGGAATTTTCGATAAGTGAATAAAAAATATTTGAAGCAAAATACAATACTTAGACCCTTAACATGTACCCCATGTAAGTCTAACCAGAGAATAGAGAGCGAGATTTTCAAAAAAAAACCTTGATCTTGATCCTAGACCTTGATTACAATTGGGCATCTTGACCAGATTCTTGACCTTGAGTAAAGGAAAAATCAAGGAACTCTGAAAAATACCTTGATCTGGACTCTGTATCCAAGAAAAATCAAGGTCTGGATCCAGATCCAGCCCGCTCTTTACCAGAGAAGATAAAACTAAAAGTCAGAGGCGAAAACCCTAAAGTGAAAACTTGAGTTCAGAAAAACAAAATTTAAAAAAAAATCAAAAAGTTACTGTAATCTGCAATTTTAGTTGGTATAATGATTTCCTCATAGATTTTGTAGTCATTCATTGTTTAATCAATATATTTATATATTTAAAGTCAATTAATCAATCAATCAATTTTTTTAGTTAATCAAATTATTTTTAATTTAATTTAGCTTATTTAAATAATCATTAAATTAACGAATTTCTATTAAATTTCTTTTTAATTACCTGAAAATTAAAAAAAATATTATTTGAAAACGTTTTCATTTTTAAAAAAACAGAAGAAATCAACTTTAAAACAACCAAAAAATGAATAAAGTTGTGAAGAAAATAATCTTTAAAAGATCAATTTATAAAAGTTATACACTAACAAAGAAAGAGAGAGAATGTTAAAAATAGGAGAGAAGGCGAGAGAAATTAAATTTCAAAACACAATTTGCCAAAACTCATTTTGCCAGTAAGGGTAAAAACGCACGTTTTGCCATTATGTTGTGTTGACAAAAAGAGGATTTTAGCCTTATTGGCAAAATATGGATTGGCAAAATATGGGCAGCATTAAATTTGTGTAAATATTAAACATAACGCCACAATAGATGAATTTGTAGATAATTTAAAGGTAAAAATGGATTTTTTGGTATTTTAATTGTTTTGAGTTTTAATTTTTTTCTATAATTTTAGATTTTTAAAATTATTTCAAGAAAATGGGAACAGTCTCGCGTGCAGAATATTTAAAGAAATACACAACAGATTCATCAGAAAAACCAGAAACTAAAAAATCAACAAATTTATTGGAGTGTCAGGTTTCTCGTTTTAAATTTTAACAAATTCACTTATTTTAAATTCAAAATAAACAAAAATTGGCTCCAGTACAGTTTATGTGTCCAATTAAACCAAATTTCTATTTTTCTTTGTGCTTGCAATCTGGGATTGGATTCTGGGTGTTTCTTTCAAAAAAACTAAATTAGGGCATAGCCACTCAAAAATAGGGCGAGTTGGTCAAAAATAGGACACACTGGGTGTAGGTCCTGAACATGAAGAAGACAATTCCAGCTTTGAAACAAAGAAAAATACAAATTTGGTTTGATTGAACTCATAAACTGCACTAGAGCCCAAAAATTTAGGAAACTTCTCAATCATACGAACAAGGCCGGGATGCAGAAACTCGCAAGCGAGTGACAGGTTTTAATAGAGGAAGAAAAGGTAAACGAGAAGAAGAAAATTCTGAAGAAAAAAAAGCTAGAGAAGCAAAACAAGCAGAAATGGAGAAAAAATATTCGGCTACCCTACAACTCATCCAATCCTTAACTCATCTAACACTTAACTCATCCACACGGCCAAAAACGCTCAACTCATCCAATCCTCAACTCATCTAATGCTTAACTCATCCACACGCCCAAAACGCTCAACTCATCCAATCCTAGAAATATCGGCCGGTTGAGTCCCTAGCCGGTTGAGTCCCTGGTCAGTTGAGTCTCAACCGGCCCAAGACTCAACCGGCGGTAATCAACCACTCAGACGGCCGGGACTCAACTGACCAGGGACTTAACCGGCTAGAGACTCAACTGGTCATGGACTCAAACGGCCAGGGACTCAACTGGTCATGGACTCAGACGGCCAGAGACTCAACTGGTCATGGACTCAGACGGCCAGAGACTCAACTGGTCATGGACTCAAACGGCCAGGGACTCAAACGACTGGTACTCAATAGTCTCGTTCCAAAGGATTGGATGAGTTGAGCGTTTTTGGGCGTGTAGATGAGTTAAGCATTAGATGAGTTGAGGATTGGATGAGTTGAGCGTTTTTGGCCGTGTGGATGAGTTAAGGAATTTTAGCCGTTTAGATGAGTTGAGCGATTTTGGGCGTGTGGATGAGTTAAGTATTAGATGAGTTGAGCGGGCACGAAATATTCTCTTTGGAATAAAGGATTAACTCAAATAAAAGAACGAGAAGAAAAATTAGAAGAAATGGAACAAGTTTTGGGGGAAGGATTTACGAGACATAAAGACGATGAAGCTTTAAATGAACATTTAAAAACGCAATTACGTTCAGAAGACCCTATGGCAGAATATTTTCGTGTTAAGAATCATAAAATACAAATGAGGACAGGAATTGGTTTGTTTTTTGTTATTGATTTAATTTTTGGCTCCACTGTTTTGGGTATGTCCTTTTAACTGTTAACCCCCCCCCCCGAAAAGGGGAAAAGGAAAAAATTTGGGGAAGGGCTGGAGCAGAAAAAGTGAATTTTTTGGCCTACGGCCTTCTAAGATTCTCAAAATTTTCGCCTGCGTCGCTGAAAATAAGAATTCCCCCCCCCCCCCGAAAAAAATCCTGGCTACAGGCCTGGTCCGTGGATTAATACGTAAAAAGATTTTTCTGGGAAAGATTCATGGAAAAAATCTTTCCATTTCTGACATTACTTTTGGCTAAAGGTTAATCCACGAAAGATTGGGGCGGGCTAAATTTTTGCCAACTCTGTTCAACGCCTAATTTTGTATGTGCCCAAAGTCCACCCTCTGGATACGCCCTTACTTTTGGAACTACTATCCTTTCTCATCCCACGATTATTTTTTCTTAATTTCTTTCTATTTCAGTTTATCCAACATATAAAGGCCAATGCCCACCAAATCGTTATGAAATTAAACCGGGTTATAGATGGGATGGTGTTGATCGTTCTAATGGGTTTGAATCAAAAATGTCTTTGGAAAAGAATAAAAAGATTGCACATAAAGAATTAACGTATCGATCTATTGCTGAATGTGAATAATTTGTGAGGTTTGGCACTATCTGAAAGGAGGTGCGGGATCATATTTTTTCCGCCTTCCTTAAACAACCTTTCATTTTTCCTTAATATGAAAAAATGGTCAGTCTTTTCCACGCTCTTAATTTTCCCTGTGGTATATTCAAATGAGAGACATTAATAAGGAAAGGATTAATTTTTTCTCATTGCTATTGTGAGGACGGAACATACAGGAGATGGAACGTGTCGGACATGTCACCGTCTTACCAGATCACAGACCAGATCTTCGGTCAGTTTTTGGTCATTCCGTGTTATGGTCGCTCTGTTATTTGGTTGTTCCTTGATTTGGTAAGACGGTGTTTTGTCTGTTCCGAGTTTTGGTATGATCCGTGTCTTGTCTGTTCCGTAAGTTAGCCTGACATGATTCAAAAATCATAAATGATGACCATTTTCATTTGACTATGCCACAAGGAATTTTAGTAAAATAAGGAAGAAAGACTGACCATTTTTCCATATTAAGGAAAGATGAAAGGTTGTGTAAGGAAGGAGGAAAAAATATGATGCCGCACCTCCTTTCAGATAGAGCCTGAGGTTTTTTTTAAATTTTCTTTCTTTTAATTTATTAAAAATCGCGTTAAAAATATGATTTTTTTGCAATTTAAAGCTTTTATTTTCAAAAAATAAATTAATTATATAAATTTTAAGGTTGGCTTTATTCTTTTTTTAGACATTCCTGAAATATATTTTCTTTCCTTTTTTCGTCTTTTTTGAGCAGTTTTTTTGGCATTTTTCTAAAATTTAAATATTCTTCACTTCCTCTTTTTCATTTAGTATTTCCCTTCCTTGAGTATATTGAGGGGGTTTTCTCAATCGAGAAAATGTGAAAATTGAAATTAAGATTAATATAATTATTAAAATAACAGCTAAAATTAGAAGAGGCCATCTAATTGAGGATTGGCGCCAAAACTAAAATTTAAAAAATTAGTGTAAGAGAGCCGTTGTTTATTCTTTAAAAGTCTTCAAATAGGATCTTTAAATAGAGGATGAAGGCTAGCCAAAGCTGAGGAAGGGTATATGGGGGAGATCTTTACTGGCTTATAATTTGTCCCCTACCTCTTCTAGGTCTCTCTTTGCCCTAAATAAGGCTCCTCTCCCTTAAAGTGTCGTAAACCGAATTTCCAAAGGTTATCTTTCCAAAAATGGTCCCATCCGAATTTCCGACCCATATCCGCTAGCCTCCCTCTCCACTTTTAAGTAATAAATAGAAATTCCTTTAGAGTAACGGTATAACGAGTGTCTACTATAATGTAATTACCGGACTTTAAATAAATTAAAAACCTCTGGAAAGAAAATCCAAAAATACAGATCAACCCAATCTGTAGATTTTGCCCCCAATCTAAAAGCAAATTCGTCAATTATATAAAGCAATCCTTTAGTAAATTCACCACGAATAAGAAAATTTTCTTTTAAAAATTTTTATTTTTTTCCAAATTAAAAAAATATTACGAGCATTTCGAGAAACATTAAACACGAATTCATTAGTTAATTTAGTTGAGATAACCCCTCCAGTACTTGTTTGTAACTAAAAATGTTTTTTTAATTTTTGTTTTTTACTCTGTCCTCGAATAATTTTCTGGATGCGCATTAGAAGATATGAGTTTAATATCCCTTCCCGTTCATTACCAAAGATTTTGACGACCCGATTCTCCAGAATCGTGAATGGGATCTCTGTCGGATGGATCCCTGCCTATTTTAAATATCCTCCATCCCATAAGTGGGTGTGGCAACTCAAATAGGGGAAGGATTCTTCTCCTCCTATATCCTCCTATAGAAGTAATGGGTTTCCAAAAGTTATTTTCAATAGTTCCGTCCGTGTTTCCGACCCAACACCGCTCGTCTACTTCCCTCTTATTTCTAACCGAAATTTTTTTTAATTATACCACTATCCTCTCCTCCCTTTTACAAAAATCCCCCTCCCCTCATATCTAGAACTGTCTATTTTTGCAACATCTTTGGATACACGTAACTGATTCATAACTATTTTTATATTAAATATCTAGACTTACCGAACTATCATTTATTGCCAACACAATTAAAGCATCATCATTACACCTTCCTCTATTTAATCTATTCTTTAATGCGTCAGCAAATATAGCTGGAAGAGAAGTTCCCCTTAAAAAATATTTTAAATCCCTTATACAGAAAAATCCCCTCCCCTTCCCTACTTTCTATATTTCCTTCTCAATTCGTCACTAACTTCCATTCTTTCCAAAACCACAACAGAAATTGTATATCCTCCCCCTTTCAATTTCCTTTCCTCATCCTCTTTACAAACACTCCTCATTTCATTAATATCATTTTGTAGTAATTCATCACACACACATTTTGTGTTTTTTCGAATATTTTCGAGAGCTTTGTCCAAAAGTTGAATCCCTTTAATAAATTAAATTAATATATAACAGTCGACCCTCGCTATAAGTCAACTCCTTGGGGCTAAAATATTGTCTCTTATCATGAGGTATGTTAAATAGAGGGTATCCAATAATGAGGTGTATATTAAATAAAGGATATCGCTTAGGCAACTCTCTTCAACCAATTTTAAAGAAACTTATGCTAGATTAAGTTGTATAGTGTTTGGAAGTTCGTACCAAAACTCGTACAGTTTTACTCATACATACCTGTGTATGAGCCAGAAGTGGGTCGGAATAGTCAGAGGTGTCGGAAATAGGAAGAGCCGGAAATCGGAACTGGCTCAAAAGTATGAGCCTCTGGTATGAGCTTCCAAACACTGATTGTATTTACTTAGTAATTATCGTATTTAATGAGGTTCAACTCAATTTTAAAACATTCGTCCTATAGAACATTCTGTACCAGGGAATAGATGTGTTGATTAGAAGTCGGGTGGAGTTCGGGTTAGAAAAAGTCTGTGGTTTCATATATCGGGTAACCTGTCCACTGTCCCATTCCTAGTTCGAAGCTTTTTCAGAAGGCTTTTTGTGATATATTTTAAAAAACCTTTCGTTTTTCCACCATAACCAATATTCAATAAATTATCAACATCACATATAAGTGAAGGATGGTCAATACCACAAGTTGAGTAATTAATTAACGAATCTGGATATGTAGTTGGGGTATAAATTGAACTTTTGATTATTTTTAGATTTAATATAGTTAAAAATAAGGGGAATATTAACATCTATATTTTCCTAAAAATAATGTATAAAAAATATATAAAATTAGGATGGTAACAAGTTGAGATATTAGAGATTAAAGAAGATGCTTGGATATACCGGGATATGGGGGAGATTAATTCTCAACTGCACGGAGACAGGATAAGTCAAAGAATGATATACATAACTTGAAGATTGAATATTTTAAATGTAAAATAATGAATTGGAATGGTAACAAGTTGGAAATGTTTGAAAAGACTGAAGCTTTGGAAAAAGTGAACTAAAAAGAAGTGGATAAAATACAAGTATTGGAGTTATTTTAAAGTATTTGGTTGTTTGTTTGGTTATTTTTTTTATTAAATATATACCTATTTTCTGTTTATTTTTTGTTTAGCATTCGTTCTATTTATTGATAAAATTCTGATAATTTTTGATAATAAAAAATTATCAGGAACATATTGATTAAATTAATTTTTTAAAAATTAGACAAAAAATTATTTTTTTTAATATTTTACAAATGTTACATTTTTATTTAAGAAAATACTAGGTAGTAAATTATTTTAATTCTCCCCACTATTTAAATTAATCCGAGAAGTGAGTCACAATTAAAATTATGTTTATTTTAAAGATTAATAACACCACTAAAATAAATATTTTGATAAATTTACTGATAAGAATCTATTTTGAAATAATAAATATGTCTAAATAAATTTGAAAAAAAAATTTTTTTTTGAATTTAAAAGTAGTTTACGTAGTTTAGAAAGGGGTTAAATTATTAGGGAAGGAGAGACTTGAGGGGAGGGACGCAGTTTAATTTTGTCTTTAACTACTTATTTCACACCTTTGGATGTTTTTAAAAAATTAAGGGTTCTTTATTAATATCCCGCCCCCCACCCCTATTTGAGTCTCAGATTAATTTTCCTTTTTACCTGCCAATCATTTATTTTTCCTCCTTTTTTAATGTCAATCATTTTCTTCCCTCAAATATAAGACACCCAAAAGGAGCGCGGCCACAAAGGCGCAAAGCCATAACTTGCTTGAAGGTTTTCGAACCTTTCAAAAATTAATATTAAACGATTCCTTTCATCGAGCTAAAGAGATTGATAACAAAAATGACAAGGGTCAAAAATATTACAGAAGGTTATGGCTTTGCGCCGTTATGGCTGCGCGCCTTTTTGGGCTTTACTCCTCAAATATCTTAAGTTTCTAACTTGCCTTTTACTTATAATATTCGAGGGAAGAAAATGATTGGCATTAAAAAAGGAGGGGAATAAATGATTGACAGCAAAAAAAAAGGAAAAATAATCTGAGACTCAAATAGGGGTGGGGGGCGGGATATTAATAAAGTACCAAATTAAGAATTTAATACACATTAAATAGAGCAGAAAATTTACTATAAAATAAAATTTTAAAATCTAAATTTTAGCAAAATAAAACGAATTTAAGGTTAAAAATCGCCCTTTATGATTAAATTTTAAGATTTTCGATCAAAACTTTTTTTACAAATTTTTCAAAATTTTGATTTTTAACAAATCTAGTAGCCACGTTTATCCTCTATCGAATGATACCAAACTTGTCTAAAAAATATCAGTGTAATGTCAAGTTATCGAAGCTTAAACACAGTTGATCTGAAGCTTTTTAAGAATTAATTATTCAAAAAATTAATTAATTCTATTTTTGGCGTTCTGTTTAATTAAATTTTAAAATTAATTTTGAAAAAAGGAACATTAGAGTATTAACAGTTTAAATTTTGTTAATCCGTATTTCATTCAATTTTTGATTTTTTTGGCTTTTTTAAAAATGATTTAGTCAAAGTTTTGTTCATTTTTTAAATAAGAGGGAGAATTTTAGCCGATAACTACACAGCTTTAAGAATAAAAATAAATTTATTTTTTATTTTTGCGCAACATTAAAAAGTGGGGGAGAAATTTTTGTTAATTCTCCTCTCTTTTCTCCTTTTGTTTATTTTTAATGTACAAAATTGTGTTCTTTTTTGTTTGTTTTTCACTTAAGACATTTTTCTATTTTTTTGTTTTAGTTCAAAAATGTGGAAAAAATGTTTGAATTAAATAGAGGGGGAGAGGGAATTAAGTTTTTAGGGGGAGGGGAGGTTTTTTGCCCCTTTTTAATTTTTATTTAATTACTGAAACCTCAAAAAATGTATTTTTTTTAAAATAGGGGGGCAAACCTAATTTAAATTTGTTTAGGCAATATTGCCTAAATTGCCTAAATAATTATAAGCCCCTCCCTTTTTTCTTGCCAAATTCCCCTTTTTTGTATTTTATTAGGCAAACAAAGAGGATTAATTTTTAAGTATACACAAACAAGTATGAGAGTTGTAAGAGCGAATCATTTTCTAGAAAAACTTAAAAATTTCAAACCTTTCGATTTACTCGAAAAAATTATGTTTGGTAAGCCATAAAATCGTTGAGGTCTACCTACCAGAGGTTTGTCGGAATTCCGATTTCCGACATCATCTATCGGAATTATCGGAATTCGGACGGTCTGAATTCCGGTTTCCGGCTTCTATATCATTTCCGACCAACCTCTTCTACCTTTAAAGCAGAGGTACATATGCCGTTCATCTTCTGGTCTTTCGCTTTTTAAAATCTGTTTCGAAACACCCCTGCTTAGGGGTTAATTCAAACATAAAGCTGACAACAACACTGAAACCTATAAGAGTTATACATATCTCCCAGATATTTTTATCTGTTTTTACCTTTTTAAACAAAAGTTAATCCTTTCTTGATTATTTGTTTGCTTAAGAAAGATGGGATTTAGGTAGTAAAATAAATTGTCCGCAAAAAAATTTTTGCGGATTTTCCGCATTTTTTTAATTTTTTTCTTTTTTTCAGGAGTTCTCTTTAATTATTTATTTTAATTTATTTTACTTCAATTAACATCCGAAATGTCAGCTAACAACGGAAATATTCTTCCAGTTTGTAATGATGCAAGAGTATTGGCAGAATCAATCATCGCTTCTCGAAATTTTGAACGTTCAAAGCAAAAAACACCCAAAAACGTTCCTTTTATGCCTTCTCCAGTTAAAAATAAGCCTTTGGAATTATCTGGTGGAAAACAGGCAATTCTCGAATCTCCAATTAATTTTGGGGGAGTTTTGCAGTCACCTGGACCTTCTCCTGCTCCTCTTCGATTTAAGTCGTTTGGACGAGTTTCGAGTAAGTTTCTCTTGTTTTTTGGGGATTTTTAGTGATAGGATTGTCATTAAATATATTTTGGGAAGTCCGGGTTGGGGTGGGGTTATAAGGGCATTAGACATATGCCACCACAAATTTGTTTGATACTTGGGTGTTTTTGTAGTTCCTCTTTTTGTTCTCGGGAAAGAACCAGATTTTTCACAAAATTCCTTGGGCCACCCTGGCTACGCCCTTGTGGGCACATTTCTCTCTAAATTAAGTATAATTGTAAGGTTTATGCATTAATCTGTTTGAACATTTCCTATTCCTTTTCTGAAGGATAACTGTCCCCATATTCTTTTCATTTTTCAATTATCTTCCCATGGTTTCTTTAAGGGAAAAGTTTTTTGGATTTCATTTTAATTTTCCTGTATTTTTAAATTAAATTTTTATCAATTTTCTAGACAATTTCAATTCTTCGTTTGCGGGCAATTCAAAAACTGATTTTGGAAGTTCTCATGGTATAAATTTTGTCAAACTCGTTTTTATAATTTTTTGTTTAGGAACATTTGTTAACAACCGTCAACGTGTTTCAAACAATTTTTCTTCCTCAAACTTTACAAAAGGTTCAAACTTCAATCGGTCTTTTGCTCATCATTATGCTCCAGCTCACCATTACAATCCAAATATTAATTCGTATGGTCGTCTTCACAGTTTGTTTTTGGCTTAATATTTTAGGTGTTACGACAATTATGGATACGCACGTGCGGGCGACGATTGCGGATTAAAAATTTTTTCAAATGATTGAAATGATATCTCGTTTTTTAGTCCCGGCTATCAGTTTCAGGCTTCTGACGGTTCCTGAATCATTTTTAGACTGATGTGGCACTGAAATCTAAATTTTTTAAAAATTTTAAAAAATCGCCCAATTCTCATCCGCAATTATCGTCCGCAATCGTCTCATCCGCAATCGTACCTATTGAAATAGTTTTGGTTAGGTGGTAGTCTTCTTGCCTTTCTCCTAGTGGGTTGTGGGTTCGAGTCCGTTTGGAGGAAAATAGATTTTTTAGGGATTTTATTTAAAATATAGGTCCATTTTTGTCTAAAACTTTAATTT